TCAATAAAACCATACCTTATTACAAAATACTACACTATGGGAGTATCTTTGTTACCCCCTGGGGGAGCATTCTAATTTGCAGACCCACTCCTGGACACACCGGAGGGACCCAGACCAGATCTCTAAACGTCCAATATCAGGGGGACCCCTAAGTGGAGAGGAACATCAGCCTCATACACAGCTGAGGAAGGACCACCCAGTATCGGATGACATCTGGATCACTTATACACAAAGGCGCATATTTGATGCGGGTCTGGTGAGTGCGCATTGTTTATCACTTACAAGCACGGATACCAGAACAAAGTCACTTGAATACCTGAGCACCCACTTTTTGTCATCTAATTAAGGAGGACTTTTGTATTTGGATCGAACTGATTGTATATATGTCAGTACCTATACATGTTTAGCGCTGCACTTTATTCTATGTTTCATTTAGTGTATTGTAGCTTACCATTTCTTAGTTGTGATGGCTGCATTCTGCTTCTCTTTAAGGCTTCCTTTGTTCTATTTTCATCTGGTGATCCAGACAGTAAGTCTGTTATTTTTCAAAAAAGCAATTTCTCTTTCAAATGTATCAGTTACATGGATGAGACAAACCATTAAACACTGACAAGGATGCTTACAATGATCAGCTTTTTTAAAATGTATGCAAAAACCTTTATCGCAAAAAGGTAAAAATCTGTTTGCTGTAACTAATAAAGTGTTAGCTGGAGTTTGACTTCAATTTGTTAGTGTATTTTAATCTGATAGTTCATCTAACATTCTCCCCCCACAGACTAACAATGCTGTTGTGCAAATGTGCCCCAGTGCTCCTTCATCCAGAGTGGGGGCACTCTAATACAGGAGGTCTGTTACTGACCAGTTCAGCAGGTGAAAACAGAGGGGAAAAAGCCTAAAAACAAAACAAATGCAGTCACCGCATCTAAGGATTGGTAAGTTGTAATATACAGGCGTACCTCGGTTTACAAAGGCCTGAAAATCCATTGAAAATAATGGTTCAGTTTACAAATTTTTTTCACAATACGAACAGATTAATTTGTTTTTAATGCATGTACAAATTTTTCTAAATCATGTCCCTGTACAGTATTTATGCCTTTCAAGTGCACTTTATAAAGAGTTTTGAATAGACAAGACTTTTTTTTTTCCTTTTTTCTGACCTCCGGAACGGATTAATTGGTTTTCAATGCATTCCTATGGGAAACGAGTTTGGTTTACAAATTTTTCGCAATACAAAAAGTCCTGCAGAACGCATTAAATTTGTAAACCGAGGTACACCTGTATTACATTTTTGGTTTCAGGTCCAATACCGATTTAAGGTCAGATTTAAGATCACTGCTATGCTAGATTTCAACAGCATGTGGCGCTGCAAGCCTAACTTGTAATTGAAGTCCCTCTTTTCATCCAGTAAAAACTGCTCTATGGTTGCAGAATTACAAGTAGTTTACAGATTTCCCGGCAGACACTGATTTACCAAAGCCTAATGCAAAGTGATTTTATGTTAAAAAAAAACGTTCATTCGCATGTCTGTGGATCTCCGTTCATCTCTGGAACCTGCCTGCAAAAATGCATTCTCACACTGATTTGTGTCCCTCTACTGATATGCAATTTGTCCTTCAATAATCTCCAGTCATTAAAGTGACCAATCAGGTTCTTCAGACTGCTGCAGGAAGCAAAGTTCATGCAGGAGGGAGGACAAGACAACCAGGAACTTTCATGTACTTATAGAAACTTTAATAATAGGGCCGTGAAAATCTTTAGTAATAAGTACCCTGTGGCCTTATAGAAGAAAAAAAAGAGCAAAATGATAAAAAATAATGTAAAGGACTATGCACATTTGTAATTAGTCCACTGATGTCCCAAAAGATAATAATATATTAATTTTCTGCTTACAAGACTCCTATCACCAATCTCCCCTCTTCTAATTGATCCGTCCTTAATTGAAAGGCTTTATCAGCCTGGTAAGTAAATATAACACCCCGACCTCACCACTGCAATTAAAAAATCATGTGATTTGTGTGCAATTTCAGCGCAATTTCAGATACGATTTCTAAGGACTTTATTGCAACTTGTGAAGATTTTCAACAATTTCTTGCAATTTTCAGTGCGATTTCCATTATATTGCATGTATATGAAATCGCAACAAAACTGCAGAAAAAGTAATGCAGGAACTACTTCAGAAATCGCGCTACAACAAATTTCACATATTAAGATATTGACATTTACATTCATTAGATGTGATTTCAGGTGTGATTTCAATTCGCAAATCATGCCTGAAATCGCACTGGTTTCACCAGGCACTAAGCCCCTGGTTACATCAAAACGGATTTTGAAATCGTACGACTTACAGTGAATTAAATTTCAAATTTCAGGTACAATGTCTAATGCCAATTGTCTATGCCTTTCCCCCTATGTTTCAAAATTAATAAAATGTTTGAACAAGATCTTAATGCAAGGCTGACAATTGGGGGATCGTATTCTCAATGTTATCATTCTTTTCTGTTTTATGATTGAACAGTTCAAAAATTTGCTGTATTGATGGCTTAAATACAGTTTGACTGTCTAGACTCCACACAGTCCAATAATTCTATTTTGGTTAAATTAAGGGCGTGGCACTTGGTTTAGATCTCTGTGTCCTTACTGTGAAAGTTCATTTTGAAAAATCAGACATATTGTAAACATCTGCAATCGCCTGAATGTTTATTTAATTTGTACTTCAAATAAAAATGTAAGTTGATAAATTTCAAATTTCAGGCAACCTGCCAATTTCCTTGTGACTTGCAAGACATCTGACACAGATGGCTATGCAAATCGCATGAAAAGTAGTGCATGTACTACTATAGAAATGGGTGCGGCTCTGACCACCTTGGAACTGCACCAATATGATCACTCTAATAGCGGACAATAGGGTGCCACTTGGGCCTACAGTTTGCAAGTCACCTGGCATGCAAAGTCGTACCTGATGTGACCAGGGGCTAACTGATCAATACTAAAATTATCAGCTGCCTATCAGCCTTATAATCAATGTGCAATTATTAAGTACATTTTTTTTAGCCAAGTACTAATATGCTGCACTTTAAAAAAATACAGTAATGGCACAATACAATATTATGGGTAAATAGTTTTCAGAAGGAGACTAACAAATATGATTCCCCCCAAATGTATGTATGTGTTGTTTCACTACAAATGTATACACACACACAGGGCTGGTGCTAAAATTATTTTGTGCCCTAGGCAAGACCAGCTATTTGCACCCCCCCCCCCCAAAAAAAAAATAAATAATTTCAAAAACAGTAGAAAATATTAATTCAACAAAACAAGAAACTGTTAAATTTCTTTTAACTTGCAAAAATAAGTGCCATAAAATGCCACTAGCACCAATATTAAAGACAAAATCAGTGTCACGGATGGACTGTATCTGTGGCTGGCAGTGGCAGGGTGACAGTTGCAGTGAGTGGATGATGATGGAACCCAATGGGGGAGATAAAATGCTGTGACAGCAGGCAGCTAAACTGTGAGATTCCACACAGTGACAGATCCAACACAACACACCACCACCAACACTAACACAGATCAGCAGCCCAGCAGGCACTAGAAGAGATTGTGATGATGTCATCACTCACTGATATATTGCACATGTGATGGATGTACGGCTGGCCAGGTCACACTCACACAGAAATGAGGCATCAGAGTCAGACATTACCTTCCTCTGCAGGCGCAGCTTCACCTAATGAATGGGAAGAGAAGGGCTAGAACTCTACAGTGAGAAGCAGCTGCGAGCGGCTTGCAAATAAGGGACTGAATCTGAGAGGAACACTGGAAGGAGCTGCAGCTCAGCTGCTACACTGGCCCCAGACACCCGGCATCTTCCTCTGTCCTTTCTTCCTCCCCTCTGCCGCCCCTCCTCTCAGCTGAACGTTCATTCATGATGTGGCGGCATCCCACACAGAGAGAATGATGGCCTGTGCTGCTCCCAGGTGCCCCAAGATAGCAGTGCAACCTAGGCGGTCACCTAGTTTGCCTAGTGGTAGCACCGGCCCTGTACACACAGGATTATGACTAAAAAGAAACACATTAGAGACCAAAAAAAGAGTAGAGAAGAGAGTAAAACTGTTTCCACATTAACTGACCTTCTAAAAAAAGATTGAAAACCATGTTTTCAGAATGAAATTTGGTTATCATGTTGATACTCTGTGGACTAATTTTTCTTATACAAGAAGTCATAATCACTGATTTAAATTATTTAAAATGTGTGAGTTGTCTTTAGGCATGGCTAGAATGTTGCTACGTATGTAGGAAGTTGAATTTTGTTGTCCGATAATTTTTGCACCGATATGAGACTAGCAAAAACACCAGGCAACCTTGTGTCTGATTTTCTCATCATATGCATTAGCCATAAGGGAATTTTCTCCAGAGCTGGAATGAGTGAATGAGAGCTGTGTTGACTTCCATCAGTTTTCAGAGATATGAAAGTTTGACTGACAATTAATCTGTTATGCAACACTATACCCAGATGAATGTTATATCATTGTTTTGACAATAGAATTTTCTTTTGGTGACATTTGATAACCACTGTTTTTTTTTTCTATAAAAAGTAAAAAAAAAAAAGAAGACGTCTAGAAATTTTGAAAAAAAATTGGTTTCCCTTACTTTTTGTTAAAATAAAAATGCCAGAATAGTACAAAAACTCCCAAAAGAGCACCTTTTTTGGAAAGTGGATACACCAAGGTGATCTCATTTTTTTCCCAAATGAATAAACATGCTGGTACTGAGGGGGTTAAAGAGGTTCTAAAGGCAGACGGGTTTTACCTTAATACTTTCTATGAATTAAGATAAAAAACCTTCTAGGTGCAGCTCCCGCCTCAGCCCCCCACTCCCATACTTAGCTGATCCAGCATTGTGCATGAGATTGTCAGCTCTCCCGGATCTGTGTCTCCTCATTAGCTCCCACAGCAGCAAGAGCCATTGGCTCCTGCTGCTGTCAATCACAGCCAGAGATTGACAGCAGCAATCTCCTATCTCAGAGGCAATTTTACCTAGTTGTCCCATTGCCTACTCCAATAATAGAGTCATTTTTTTAAATTTATATTAAAATAAAATTTCCAGTGTTTTTGAACTTCAGACTGTGTTAGAGTTTAAATCACATATATTAAAATGCTGCACTTCAATGCACATATAATATACAAAGTCAGGGAGCAATATATTTAGCTTGAATTTTTTCTGTAGATAGCTTTTCTGTAAATATTACATATATTTAACCTCTTGGCACCGGCACCTTTTGGTCCTTTAAGGGCGGTTTTGCAATCATGTGACCACTGTGATTGGCTGTTACAGGGGTTACATGATCAGAAAGCTCCCGATAGCAAGTAGAGATCGGGAGCTTTCTGTTAGCCACCTTTAACTGTGCCAGGAGCGCACATGGTGTGAATTCTCAGCACCGTTATTTTTTTCATTGGGTATGCATATATGTGGACTCTCTGCATTGAGGCCCACCAGCCAAGAAGCTGCAAATATGCGTGCTGGCCAGCAAGAGAAGTTAAATTATAATAAACTTAAAGAAGAATTGCAATTATTGTTAATATATTGGCTCCCCCTCCTGTATTAAAGATAAATGCCAAGCTCTACATATGGTTTCTATGCTCCAGTGTTGTCCCCAGCTTCCCCTCCAACCAGTGCTTTCTATTCTATTCAGATTGAATAACAGTTAACCTTCAGTTAAAAATATTGAAACAGAATAAGGCCAACAGATAAATATCGTACAAAACAAATTGTAGGCCCATGATGGTGATTGCAAAAAAAAAAGGGGGGCTTGCAACTCAGGCGAGACACAAATTAGAGAAGGCACATATTAAGGACATATATTACTGTATACAAAAGATGTAATCATCCCAGGGAGTGAGATAACCCTTGTGTGTGAAACACCACAAAATACATGAAAAACAGAAGTCAAGGGGTACATATCCCAAACCCCTGAAAGCAGTCCAAGTATTAAAACACTTAAAATCTGCTCCAGGTAGTTGCAGGATGCAAAATTGAAGGGTGCTACACCACCCTTTTGAAATCACAATAGGACATAGACCATCAGGAGGCAAGTGAAGAGGAAGGAAAAGAAGGGGGAAAAGAAAGGAAGAAAGAAAGAACAAGGAAAGGAACTCAAGAAGCCCACATGCCAGGCCCACCACTCCCAGCAAAGAGGGATGTAATATTAAGATGGAGTCTTTAAGTAATTAATCCACATGGTCCAGATGTACTGAAACCTAGTTGTGGTATCATGTAAGATGCTAACCATCTTCTCGTTGATCATAATCCAGGAAAGTTTGTGTTTTATCAATGAGAAGTCCACCACTGGGCTTTTCCAGGCAATTGCTATTTTAGCTGCTAGAAACATGAAATGTATAAGAGTCTGGAGGGGTCTGGATACATCAGCTACTGGTTCATTCAGAAGCGCAATTGTGGGGTTTTTGATGATGTTTATCATGGTCACCGTAAAAATCAGGGCATGAACTCATATCCAAATCCTCCTTACAATGTTCCATGTGTGGTGGACTTACCCTATTTACCCAAAAATAGGGTACGTCCACCACACATGGAACATTGTTTATCCTTGCCCGCAACCTCAGAAACAGAGTCAGGAGGAACCAGGATACAATTCTGACTGGTGATCAAGAACCAGGTACTAACGGGAGAGCACCTTATAGCCTGCTTCTACAAGGGAGACATTCATAATGCCTTTGTGAATTCACAAAGACCAGTCCCTCCACTCCTCCTTATCTATCTCCAAGCCTATATCCCTTTCCCAAATCAGCATATGTAACAGTTTGCCTGGGGTGGTGACAAACAACTTAGACACAGACTTGAGATGCCCCTTCTCTGAGCCTCATCATGAAAACATCTGCTTTCAAAAGCCATTGGGGTGGTGATATCAACAATATTTCATTGTAGGGAGCGGAGAAAATGGAGAATTTGCTGCAGGTGATAAAGCTCATTATCAGGCACCCTGAGCTGTTGTGTAAAATAGGTAATGGGGCATATCCCTTATGGTCCAGAAAGTGGCTGCTGATACGATAAAGGCCTTTATTTTTCCACCATTGGAACTCAGTTGGCCTTATTCTAACCATTTTCTGTAAGCATCAGTAACTATACAATACCCAATCTCAACTGCAGATTCGGCTTCTAGTGGCTGTGGATTGATAGTCTGGCTTGCTGGCTCTAGTGTTCCTGCACTCAAATGACCAAATCCATAGTAACGTCAAGCCAGCAACTCAGTATAGTCCATAAAATCCAAATATTTATTGGCTACATACTATAAAACACACTGGTAACAAGCTACCTCATTTTGGCTGTGACAGCCTTCTTCATAGCATTTTCAGTGAGCCTTACCTGCTGTTGGCACACACCCTGGGGTATATCATCACACATTCTGGTATCACAGTACTCCAGGAATTAGCATGGTTTACATGTCATTACCCATTCAGAAGTTAGGACTGCCTTCTGCCGCCTTCAGGAAAGAAGAGGAAGGACCCATCACATCACCAGACCAGCTAGAACAGTGCAGTAAAAATGGTGTATAGGGGATTTAAAAAGAAAAAAAAAAATGTGGACCTTCTGCAAAACAGGCAGGCGACATATCTAGGCTAGGCAGGAGCTATGTCCTAGCTCACCTCTCCTTCATCCATCTCATTGGACAATTCATCATCAACATCATTAGCTCCATCTAGTGAGAATAAAGCTGACCCAGGAAGCTGTGACACTTTTTTTGGACCTTTTCCAAACCAGGCAGGTGACATATCTACTGTAGGCTAGGTAAGAGCCATATTCTGGCTCACCAATGCAGCTTCATGCCACCTCTCTTTCAGCCTTCTCATTGAACAATGCATCATCAACATCATTAGCTCCATCTAGTGAGAAGAAAGCTGACCCAGGAAGCCGTGACACTTTTCTTGGACCTTTTCCAAACCAGGCAGGTGACATATCTACTGTAGGCTAGGTAAGAGCCATATTCTGGCTCACCAATGCAGCTTCATGCCACCTCTCTTTCAGCCTTCTCATTGAACAATGCATCATCAACATCATTAGCTCCATCTAGTGAGAAGAAAGCTGACCCAGGAAGCCGTGACACTTTTCTTGGACCTTTTCCAAACCAGGCAGGTGACATATCTACTGTAGGCTAGGTAAGAGCCATATTCTGGCTCACCAATGCAGCTTCATGCCACCTCTCTTTCAGCCTTCTCATTGAACAATGCATCATCAACATCATTAGCTCCATCTAGTGAGAAGAAAGCTGACCCAGGAAGCCGTGACACTTTTCTTGGACCTTTTCCAAACCAGGCAGGTGACATATCTACTGTAGGCTAGGTAAGAGCCATATTCTGGCTCACCAATGCAGCTTCATGCCACCTCTCTTTCAGCCTTCTCATTGAACAATGCATCATCAACATCATTATCTCCATCTAGTGAGAAGAAAGCTGACCCAGGAAGCTGTGACACTTTTCTTGGACCTTTTCCAAACCAGGCAGATGACATATCTACTGTAGGCTAGGTAAGAGCCATATTCTGGCTCACCAATGCAGCTTCATGTCACCTCTCTTTCAGCCTTCTCATTGAACAATGCATCATCAACATCATTAGCTCCATCTAGTGAGAAGAAAGCTGACCCAGGAAGCTGTGACACTTTAATCTAGCAAAAAGGTATGTAAATCACAAGACCATAGCTGACCAGAATTGCTAATATACTAATAGAAATGTTACTATATAAAGAATGTATTTCTGTGTACATAACTGCTTGCTTGGTGTTCCACTTTAAACAAAACTTGGCCAGGAGTGGAAACATTATCAATACTCAATGCAATGATAAATAAATCTGCACATTTCTTGCCTGCGTTTCTTTTAAATAGGGTTCATTAGGTAAGTCTGCTGCTTAGCAGAATTTGCACTTGGAATCATTCTGGGCTTAATGCATTTTTCACCACGTCGGCTGCATGAAAACGCAGACTGAAATAAAGGTCAGCCACTCGAAATGTATTTTCATTGAGCAGAATATTTATGTACAATGGGTACTGTACCTTGGCAATGATTTTACACTATATACTCATAAATGCATGACAAGTATAATTATCTAAACTTAAAAGTATAATTAGTCAAAGTGTTGATGGTTTCCAACAAGGAAATAGCTAAGCACGTAACAGCTGTGTCCATCTTTTTGAGTTGTTTCTACTGCACATAATTAAATTAAATGTTTATGTGACACATAACAGATTTCACATTTGTTCTTCTCCACTAGGCAGTACGTGACAAAAAAAAAAGCCATTTTATGGTCTACAGGAAAATAATAATAAAAGCTAAACAAACTACCTAAAATACACTCTGACTAATATTGCTTTGGCAGACAATATCAATGCTTTGGATTAAAAAAAATAAGGTTTCATGGAGGTTTGAGAGTTTTTTTTCTGTAGGGTGGGATGCTGACCAAGGCTAGGTAGAACCTTAACTGTACAGTAAGTCATCCAATCTGTAGATTTAATAATCTATGGGGTCATCAGATATGCATAGAGCAGTCATGTAAGCCTGTGGCCATTCTGTCATAATACTACCCATTGTTACACCATACTTCACTAAAGCAAGAATAAATGATTTTGGGATCTGATTTATTCTCCTTGATGTAGCATTCATCAAGTACTGCTTGGCTTGGTGGAGCTAAATTGATGGAATTCACATTGTGGCAGTGTGACATTGGATGTCTGACTAATTTCCGTGAGAGAATTAATGGTTGTGATGCTTCAATTCAATCTAACATGCTGGTGGCCACAGAGAAAATTGTTATCTTAGATTCAATTGTATATATTACGACAGGGAGTATTTAGACAGATCTATACTCCAAACCCACCAACCATAATCAGGTGTAATGTGGAATTATTCCTCCCATGAATATAAAAGATTGAGCACTATTCATCCTACAGACACAAATGATGAGGCACTATTCCCTTCATTGATACCAATGATGGGGAGCTATTTCTCTCACCAACATCGATGATAGGACATTATTCCTCTCACTGACACCAACAATGGGATATAGTTCCTCCTACTGGCACCAGTGATTGGTAACAATTCTCTCCACTGACACCACACCATGGACATTATTCCTCCCATAAATATAAATGATTGAGCTC